ACCACTAGGAAGAATGTATGCAATGTGTTAATTATTGAAACTGTCCTACCAATTTGGTTCGAAACTGTCTCATTGCTATTTGTTTCTCAATAAAACTATGGAAAAAAAAAGAATAAAATATAACAAAAATTTTAAAAAATCACAGCCAACAATTTATATTAGGTTTAGTGTCAGTAAACAACTTATTTTAAGTTTGTTTGGTTTTTTTTTTTTTTTTTTTTAGTGGCTTAGGCTTTTGAAGGGAAATAAAATTCTATTAATAATTAATGATTATTAGTGAATATGAAGGATGTATTTCAATGTGGCCTCAAACACAAAATCTGGGATGGTCCCTTTGCAGGATGCATTTCATCCAAATTGGCAGGATCAGAATTACATGGTAGGGTTGGGAGATAGGTCACGAACATAAGTGTGTGCCTGGCAAGCACAAGTCCCAAGTTCAACCCCCTGGTATCACCAAAAGAAAAAAAAAAGGGAGAGAGAGAATTACATGGTAGAGTTTTTAAACCCTCCAATGGGCAAGGTCTACCCCAACTTCCTGGGTCTGAGTCTGTTAGGAGTGGGTGCGCAGCTGCTGCAAAGGTTTGGTGATTCCACGCCACTCGGTCTGCTGAAACGCCTGGCTGTGGATCACCCGCTGGAGCACCTGGAAAGCCCAGTGACTCGGGAAAGGGGCAACTAGCAGCGGCACTTACAGCAAGCGAAGCCCCAGGGTGCTGCGGACGCTTTGCTGTCCTCTCTAATGCCTAGTAGGGTGGGCATAGCCAGGATCTCCCAGAACTTGGAGTGTCTTCCTGCTGTCCTTATGGTTCTATCTTCATGAATTCCACCCATGTCCTTCTCAGATTAGCATTTTAGGAAGTTTTTATTTACAAAAATAAAAATCAGTTTTCTTTCCAAATTATCCAAACAATTCAAGCTAAAAGCAAATGTATGGAAGTGTTTAACCCACCAGTGAAAATTAAAGCAGAAGTTGAATATACATAAAATCTTTCAGCCCATTTTTTTCAGGTTATAAATCTTAAAAGTGTATTAAAAGTACAACTCACAATCAACTACATGTTAGCGTAAATAATAAAAATAGTGGATCTAGTGTCATCACAGGGGAAAAACACCCTAAACTCAGGAAAATGTCACTTCTGTGTTGCTTGACTTCTCCAAGTCTCTATCCCTTTGATAATGAAAAATACCGAATAGCTTAAAAGAACAACCTGGTTACATAAATCCACATTATTACTCAAAGAAAAATCATATAAAAAGCTTTGAGACAAATTTATAAAGCACAAATTAATTTTGTTCTTGTATTTAAAATATATGAAGTCAAGTTCCTACTAAAGAATTAAAACCCTTAAGAAATTAGAATTCCACACTATAACACTCAGTTCTATGATTTTTTATGGCCATGCCTTCCTCCATGCGCTCCAAATGTAGCTTTGGTTGCGTACTTAGGACTCTTCTCTTTTGCTTTTGATTGTGAGTGTCGGCCTCTCTGTCAGCCCACTCTATCCTTTAACCCATATTCGGACCACTGTGACGCAGCTTCCTACCCCCTCTCGGCGCTGTCCATGTGTCTGTCAAGTGTGACGTGGATTTCCTAGAGTTAAGACCATGAGGATTTTGGAGATCTCCTCCAGAAAAAAACAGACGAATCCAGAGATCTTCTCAGCAGCTCCCGTGGTGGGGCATCAGCTTCACCAAGCCCTCTCCGTAGGCAGCCCTTCTCACTACCAGGACGGCTGTAGTGGTTGTGGTTTTAACTGTGACCCTAAGCAAATCTCAGCACCTTTTCAGCCTATGTGTCCTCTAAGGGTGAAGGAAGAACAGGCCGGGAATTCCAAGGTCATAGACCTCCATAGTTTCAGTAACGCTTGCTTGGAAATCTGCTTCGGATGGATCTTGCTTAAAGGACAAGGTATTACGAGGCAGGGGCAGGGAAATTTTACACCACGGTGTCAGGAATTTTCAGTGCTCCTGAGCAGTGTCTGCATCCTATCTCTTAAAGGAGACTTCTCTGGTCACCTTCTCCCCAGCGGCCCTGCTGGCTGACGCCTACACCAAAGCCTGGCCCGACATTTAGGGGGCTCTCACCACGAGTCCATTATTGCACTCCCGACCCTTCTGGGTCCACCACCACTGCCAGTGACGGTGGCTCCCCACCACCTTGTCTACTTCACTGCCCCCACTCCTACCCCTTTAAAAATCTCTGAGCCCCAGAATCAATGCTAGACCCTCTCTCGGCATTGGCTGGTCCTTCTTTGGTCTAAATTCTTTGTTCCTTCTCCACACCTTTCCCTGTTCCAGGTGATCGCCCCTGGGACAGTGCTTATGTTCCTCCCAGCACTCTGCTCCAGCAGCATGTGGCACCGGGTCAGAAGCCCCTCGGAGTCTGTGATGGGGCTAAGGTTACCAGGGAGGCATCAAAGATAGTGTGAGGCGCAATCTTAAAACCCAGACTAGTAAGCACTCCTTGGCTCTCACACTGCAAAACTGGACTCTAATCTGGCTGAAGTGTGTACTATCAGAACATTAAATGATAGAAAGTATATATTGGTACAGAACACAGTAAAGGCTTTTTCTCCCTCTACCAGAGAAGCTCTCCACTGTAACTATAAGAATTTTGGAGAGGTCCAGGGATATAGCTCAGTGCACAAGCAGTAGCCTGGCAAGCACAAGGTCCTGAGTTCATTTTCTGATTTAAAAAAAAAAAAAAAAGAGAGAGCTACTGCTTCAGGTGATGATTAACACAGAAGAGCACAACCTGATCACATAAAACACCTTAGATTTACATGTTGAAATAGCCAGATAAAACAAACATGTTGAAATAGCCAGCAAGTCATGGAACACATATATTTACATTAATTTAAATGTCCAAAGCACAATACAATATGGTCTATTTAGCAGCTCATATAATCTAAGATTTACATATACAGAAGCAAATGAACAAATAATAGTCTATTAGAATAAAAGCTTAAGTTACTCAGACATTTGGTATTGACACATATTGTCAACAAATGATGACTTTAAAGAGGCCTTGTCTCTGAGATACAGGATGGAGAAAATGTACAGAATGGATAAAAGTCAAACGAACATACCTTCCTTGTATTATCTACTGCTCCCTACGTAGGATGCGACGCAAATTGTCCCGCAAATTTGGTCAGTGTGATTAGCTCACTCACGCCTGCAATGATAATTTGGGCTGAATAATTCCCAGGTCTCACTTTATGCTTTATAATTGTTGCTTGATTCTTCCTTCTACATCTTTTATAAAATGAAATGGGATGCTGATGCTTTTCTTTCTTTCTTTCTTTTTTCTTTTTTCTTTTTTTTTTTTTTTTTTTTTTTTGATGCTTTTCTTTAAAACTGTCTCATCTTTGGTCCTCATAGGTTAGCAAAGTGTATTTCTGAAGACTATTAATGAATACATGGAGTTCATGTTGTTTTCTTTTAAGACTCCTGAATAAAGAGATAATGTAGTCACTTATCCCTTTTGGGCCAGCTTCAAGGTTATCAATGATGCTAAAGACTTAGGACACGATGATCTAAAACTTAGACTTTGAAAAACAGCCTCATCTTTCTCTACAAAACTGAAGAACCACAGCGCTTTTACCCGACTTCCTATCAACCCTTTTAAGAGGTCATTTTGGTTTTCTTTCAACAACACAATTTAAAACAGCACAATTTCTGCCCTGCTATTTATTTTGCAGACTGCACAGTTAAATATGGAAAGATTAAATTATTACTTCATACAAATACAGGCACACAATTAGGAGGATGCCACAAAAGGTGTGTCTGAGAACACCGAATTGACTGAATCTGAGTCGGACTTTGCCCTGGCGGACTTCAGAATGCCCTCAGCTAGCGCCGCCTCGCTGGCAAGGAGCCTCACCTTCCCATTCTGCCCTGCAGCGCTATCTTTCAGGGGCTCCAGAAACACAACTCTTTTACCTGCACCTGCCTTCCGTTCCTCAGCGGAAGCCTCACCAGCAGGGACAGGACTGAGAATGGAGGAATGGGCACTGCTTTGGTTGAGCACAGTCTTCTGCCTCTTGGTTTTACACTTGCAGGGACACGGTGTCAGATAGAGGTACAAAAGTACCAGAATGATGCTGGCCACACAGGCGGCGAGAGTGGTGAAAGCTGTGTTAAATGCCTCATGCGCGTGGGATCTGTTTACAGTGAAATTGCTCACGTTTATTGTGACATCCACAGTTTCATTTAACAGGCGTTGCCTATTCATTGCAATACAAGAATACACTCCAGCATCCTCAAACCGGGGGCTCTCTATCACTAGACTCCCATTGTAAAACACATGGAAGTTTTCCATCTCTTTTTCCGGCTCCAGCAGTCTGTTATCCGGAGCAACCCAAATGAAATCTGTGTTTCCATCACCAGGCTTGCTGCTGTCACAGTGGACGACCAGTCTCTCCCCTACCTGAGCCTCATGAATAAAGCCAAGTGCACGGAAGGAGCCATTGACGATGCTGTCAGAACAATTCATAAAGCTATCTTGGAGCAGAAGCAGCTGACTGAACTGCCTGGAGCCAGACCACTGGCGACAGGTGTAATCGTTCTTAAAATCCATCACGGAACTAAAGCGCCTCCGATACCAGAAGATCAGGAGCGAGTACAGGGAGCAGTCACAGATAAACGGGTTTCCGTGCAGGTAGATGCCTCTCAGCTGCTTGCCTGGCACTAGATTTATATGGTGCATTGGTATGGAAGGGATTCGGTTATAAGAAATATCTAAGAACATCAGCTTTGCTAGCTTAAACCTCCCAACATACAAGTCCATAGGGAACTGCGTGAGAAAGTTTCCACTTAGGTAGAGCTTCTGCAGTTGGGACAGCCCTCCAAACGCTGAGGGATCCAGATAGGAAATGTGGTTGTTGTACAGCAGGAGCACTTCGAGGTCCCTCAGTTCTTGGAACACAGCACTTTTCACTGTCTTCAGCTTATTGGATGACAAGTCCAGACACTTCAGATTTGGAGCTGTGGAAAAACTGCCAGCGGAGATGCTGGTGATATTGTTATGACGAATAACAAGGGTGTTCAGCTTGACAAATGATACCGGAATCCACTCAGACTCCAGGAGGCCAATTCTGTTATAGCTCAGATCCAGTCTCTTAATCAGTCTGAAAAGATTCCCCGGTACCTTGGACAGGTTTTTGTTGGTGCAGCTGACGATATCAGTGGCGCAGATGCAAGCCGTGGGGCACGCGCCAGAGGCGCCGGGGCTCACGGCCACGGTGACCACCAACAAACACAGCAGCTCTCTGCAGCCCGGTCTGGCGACACCTGGCAGGGTGGGCAGCGCGAGCAGCAGCCGCAAAGACATTATGGTAGCCGCTGAGTGTCTCCAGGAGCCTCTCCGCAGCTCTAGCCCCCAGCAGTCAGCCTGTAGACGACATTTAAAAGGAGAGGGAAAGCACAAGTTAAGCGCCAACTAGTTAACCCTTAACCGTCCTCCAGTAGTTTCCTGCCAACGACTTTTGAAAAGGGTTCAGTTCACCCTTGCAGAGCTCTACGTTGTCTTTTTAACTGAGAAATGCATTTCTCCCTCTGCTAGCTTACTCCTCCGTTTGCAGGAGCATTCTCTCAGTATAACCATTCCACCATTAGAAACTTAATTTTTTTTAAGGGTGCATCTTGCGTTTTTTAAAAAACCTCCAGAGGACACAATGTACACAAACGCATCTTATAAACAATGAAAGGGAAATACTAAGAAAGGCACACGTCCAGAAGACAACTCACAGACCAGGGAAGCCTCACGCGCTCTGCGGACGACGGCAACGTTCGCCGAGGGTCTGCGCGTCCGTCCGTCCGTCCGTCCGTCCGTC